TTTTCGAGTAACAAAAAGTTGTTCACCAAAACTATGAGAAGCATTTGACTAGATGCAGTTTTCTTCGCTGAATCTGAATATAGAATTCAAATTGAAATTCGAGGCGATTCTGAAATATAAATTGACCAAATAGATGTTCAAAAATGGTTGTTTCCAGGGCTTTTAGCCATTTTCAGCATGTTGTTCAATATTTTCATATTTTTGAGTTCATATTCGAAATCAGCATAAAAAGCTACATTGAATGGTATATATAGCTGCTTTGACACTCGATCATTTTGCCATGCCTACAGGTCGCAGAAAATTATGAGTCTTGCTTTCTGTGAGATATTTCTAGTTGTATGAAACATTTTGATAGCTTATCGACTGCTTTTGAGATCGAATCAGTTGATATGAATTTAGAAAGAAAAAAGTTATGTTGTCATATCTATATGGGCTAATGTATAGGAATATAGCTGTGTAGTCGATTTGGCTGTAAAGTACTTTTTTAATACACGAAACGCAGCCCAATCGAAATATAAATATGATATTCGTAATCAGTGCGAAAAAATTGCATACAAATCATATGTTTCTAATGATATTTGCGAGAAGAAAGTTTTTCAAATCCTGGAGAGCATGACAGGAATTAAAGCCTTTCTTTGAAATAGCACAAAACTAAATCGTAAGAAATATATCTGGCAATCGTCTGACACATTTTAAATAGATAAAAGTCTAAAAATCTTCGCTAAAAAATGGCCATTCAGGCATATGTCCTTTATTCTAAATGTAAATTTTAAAAAGTTACATTTATTTAGATCTAGTTTAAATTAATATAAACTCGGTTGAAACTGAATAATATTCAAGTTAAATCCATTGAATTGGGTTTAAATTTCATATGAATTATGTAAATGAATTTACATCGCATATAAACGCGTTTAAATCCAACTGAATGAATTTAAATTGAATTTAAACTTATGTTGATTTAAACTGGATTTAAACAAATTTAAGTAATTTAAATTTAAAATAAATTTAACTTTTTAAAATTTATGTTTGGCTTTATTTTATTTTCGTGAATGTAAATTGATCATCCCAAATAATCTCATTATGCTTCTAAAAAGACCAATTGCCGGTAGGTATTGCTTCACCATCTAGAATATTTTCGGCTTCTTGGTCAAGACATGAAAAGCTACAGCGAAGTCCTTTTCCATTTCGTAACTATGATTATGTAGTTGAAAGAAAAAAACAAAACAAACAAATAAAAGAAGAAAAGAATATGTCTTTTTTTCGATGGCCTTCTACCTCGGTGTTTTGAACTGGATAGACTTGAATGTTGCAAAAAATATAGTTTTTTTGACTTCAATCAACAAAAATCTTCACATAGTTATGCTCTTTTGATTGAAAAAAAGCACACCAGAAAACAAACCAAAGCTTCTAATATACTATTAATACGTTTTTCAGAAATATAATGAAAAAATCTGCATATAACTGAAAGAATCCTAAGTGAATCAAGCTCAGAATAAATTGAATTTTTATGGCTATCATTTAAGTGGTCAGTAAAATAAATGAAATGGTCAGTAAAAGCATATATAAATGATCAGTAGAAATATTGAATTGTCAGTAGTATGACGGTCAGTACTTAATTAAAAAATGATCAGTAATTAATCATAAAATGGTCAGTTTTCTATATACAAGTATCAGTAAAAATTTCAAATTTGATCAGTAAAAGTGCAGATTTTATTAGTAGAAGAAATAGCTTTATTCATATAAAGATTAATTTATATAAGAAAAATAAATTAAAATAAATAGAAAAAAACCAATGAGTAAATAAGAAGAAATCCAAAACGTCATTATATGGAAATTCAAAGAATGAAAGCAAAAAAGAAAATGAAAATTCAATTATTATACTAGCAATATAGGTTTAGCCTTCACTAGTCTACCTCTGTTTTCTTTTCTCATTGATCGAGACGTTTTTTTTGCTAGTGGTTTACAATATTTCAAATGAACAGACACATCTACAATGTGTTTGCATATGCAATTCATCAAAAAAACCTAAACAGTTGCATTTGATGTTTTCCAAGCTGAGCCATGTTTCATTTCCAAACACCAAATATTAAATGATTTTTGAATTGCATCAAAGTTGTCAATTTTTTTATTTATATATTTATTTAAATCCACTTATGTAATCGATTGTAAATGACTAGCTCGAATACAATATTATTCTGAAGCATCATTTGGAAGGTCAACTAAGTTTTTTGTTGATTTAGCCCATTGATAGGATAAAGTCTACAATTCTGAAGATATTGTTGATTCTGTAACAAATATTTTGCATTAATTGAAGAAGAGTTTCGTCCAGTTCACCAACTATCGACAATATTTGAAGCTATTGTCAAAAATCTCCATAAAACATGACATTCTCTAAGTATTTCATCATTTTTGTTTCTTTTATTAATTGCCTCTAAGGCGCTGTTTGCACGGGTGAGGTGATAGTATAACACGCTTCGATGTTTATACTTACCATTTAAATTAATTTACTGACCTTTAAATATATTAACGAACCAGTTATTTTAATAACTGACCATTTAAATAATTTACTGATCATTCATTTTTTACTGACCATTCATTTATTCTACTGATCATTTCATTTATTTTACTGACCATAAATTATATTCCCAATTTTTATTAATGCTTTTCTTTTACAAGTTCGATTGAAAATGAATTGCATATATGCTACAAAAGTCTTTTTTTTTCAGTCGATCTCGAAAGAAACTGTGCCCGAACTATGAGCGAAATAAGAGTAGAATTCGTTCCTCGACGCACTCGATCCCTTCATCGTCAAACCAAAAAACAGAAATCGGTAAACTTACAACACGTCTTTTTTCTTGTCACAGATTTGTTTGTTTAGTTATCTATTAGTGTTGTGCATGTCTAATGTAAACAATCAAAAAGAGTATCTTGTGTTAACCATGGTGACGTGCAAAACAAAGTAAGAACTTGAATCATTACGGCCGAGTTGATATCGGAACTTTGTATTGATATGATGTACATAAAGAAAGAAATCGATCATGGGTGTGGCTGGGAGTCTAGGTGATTTTTCTGTTCGTGCACACTTTATCTGTACACATGCCCACACTACCACACCTACATCTCCACTAGAAACCAGTAGGGACACTCCCATTCCGGCCCTCGGCTCGACTCCAGCAGGGCCGGAGCTGAAAAATGTTTTCGGGACCGGGGCCAAATCTCCCAAAGTTTAGAATTCTCCTCGAAAAATACTTTTTGTTTTTCTGTAACACCAATTTATTTAATTTCATAATTGATTAAAGAGTAAACAGACGAAAAATAAAGACAAAGGTATCTCATCATTAGAATTCAAAGCTGCACCAAAAACGAAAATTGAAACTCAAAAAGATGATGACTCTTTACCAGTAACCAGTGACTACGTCAAATTACTGTACTTCATTTAAGTCACTATAAATATAATAAATGTGACAATTCTAGTCATATAAGTACGAAAGAAGATAAAGAAATATTTGATCTCGAATTTACATTACAAATGCATCAATTTATTCTCTAGTTGCTACTAAAATTTCAGTCATGAACAGTATGAAATACAACAAAGAAAGGTGATTAATACTTCTTATGTTCTTCTGTGTGTGAGTGAAGCAAAAATTTGATATCCTAATCACTTATACTACGCGTTCATGACTTGAAATCATTGGTTTGCCTTAGATATGAAATGAAATGACGGTAATGGGTATCAAAGTTCAGCAAACAAAAATTGGATAGATCTTTTATTTCGGTCAGTATAGGGTATAATTCACGAACACATTTAGGATGTACTCAACTGATTTTTGCGTGAACTTTGTTTGTATGATCCCTTGCTTTAGAATAAAGCAAGTAGCTTAACAATTGGAGATGTGGCACTGGATTCTCATCCAACTCGACTTGTTCCATTGGTCTTTTCGAATATAGCTAAAAATGCATCATCACAACAAAAAGACAACATTATATCAAAATCGACAGATGCTACATTGAACAATTGTAAGCTGCTTCACTCTGATGTAAGTTTTAATTTAGAAATTTTTATTTCAACATCTAGTTATTTTTATATTGCTATATCATTTTTTCTTGATTGTGCAGGCTACTTCAATGGTTGAAACAGTATATTCAAACAAAAATTTCGAAGCAGCATCTAGTATACGTAAATCAAATTCTCCTCGGTTTCTAAGGGAAAAAGGATCAATAAAAGAATCCGAGAAATCAAATATGAAACCTTTAACTTATCAAAATCAATTCTTTCAAAGCGAAAAACAACAAACAAATACAACAATTGGAGAGACAAAGTCGGAGAAACGATATCGTCGTCAAAGATTATGTTTTTGTTGGACACCATATTGTTTTGGGTGTATTGCTTTATTAATACTATTACTAAGCGGTCTTGCTGCCTTATTCATAGCTCTTCTGGCGAATAAAACATCGAACACTACTAC